CAATCTCGGAAATTACTGAAGTTGAAACTCACTAAAATGCTCCAAAATTTCCCTTTTTTCTTTTGTTTTGCAGTCTGGAACCCATGTAGCTTCAGATAGTACCTTGTTCTAAAGCTCCCTCTATTGACCAAGGTTGGAACCTGCAGTTTATGAAAGAAGGAATTCTGTTTTGTACATCCTGATGGGAATGACACAGCACTCTGAGCACAAAATAATTTATTTTTGCAACTAAAACCAAGAATGAGTTCTTAACTAGGAATTGAACCTACGACTGACCACAGTCAAAATGACTCAACAAAGGAAAACAAAGTAAAACAACCTAAACACAAACAGTTACTCTCACAACAACTCAAAGCAAGAATCGAGACCAACAAAAACAACAAACACAACACTCGGATATGTTCCAATGGCGAGAGACCTCTCGGTTCATGGGAAGCCTGCTTCTCCAGGTGTTGTTTTCCACCCTTTCTTATTTGTAATTCTCACATCACTTTGGCACTCAAACTCTATTTTCTCTGAAAAGCCCTTTCCTTGCTTTTCCTCTCAACGCATATCTCTCTATTCTTTAATATCTCTTATTTTTATCCCTTCCCTGAGTGATTAATGGATAAGCAGGAAGTTATGGGCTCTTGCCCCTAGTATTCTGCTAAATTATAATTCTTTCACTCATAATTAGTGAGCTTTTCTCACAGAGAGGTTGTGACATGACTGGATGTGCAGCAGATCTGCAACTGACATTGGTTGACGATGCCCTTGGCCAGTTTGGATGTAATCAGACCTGTCCAGATGAGGGAGTAGAATATCCTACTCCATTCCAGCTTGTGCTTCGCACTTGGCTTGATATCTCACTGTTTGGAGGATGAAAAAGTGTTTGGCCCCTTGCTGCTAACTTCAGCTGTGCCCTTTCTGGCGAGTACATTAATAATGGGAAAAAGACAAAAACCCTGACTCGACTGTGCCCCTAGTTCATTATTTTGACCATTTTTGTTTTTGGTTTTCTGCTAAAACAATTTTGACCACATGAGAGTTTGATTAACATGTTTGTTCGATTTTTTTATTTGAAATCATGTAAGTCAGGTTGTAAGCACTAAAAAATTTCCTTTTTTGGGTCCAAGATATGGTCCAGTTTTGGAAAAATAAAATACTTTTTGAGAAAATTAGTCAGCATCATTAAAAAAATCCTCAAAACTGTTTGCAAATGGCCACTACTCGACCAATGAGGAATTAACTCCTGAGATGAACTTGAATTATCTTACAGTTGAATCTTCCAACGGAATAGAACAACCGATTTTGAATAAAGATGAGCCAATTGGACATGGATAGGATAGCCGATTTGAACAAAGATCGGCCAATCAACATGGATGAGACAAGCAGATTGAAAATGGTTGGGGCCGAACTTCATAATGAAGTTGCCTATGTATCCCAAAGATGGGAATCAGGCCGTACGTAGTTCCAGGGTTAAGGTGCACTCAGGTATTAACACTTTCCTTTTGTGCTCTAACTTTTGCTATGGCCGCCCTTCCAAGTTTTCAACTTTGCAAGCTCTATTTTTCTTTTCTTTTCATTATTTTTCTTTTTTCTCTTTCTTTTGTTTCTTTTCTTTTTCTTTTGTTTCCATTTTTTCATTTTTGTTCGTTTTCTTTTTTCTTCTTGCTCTAACTTTTGCCTAGGTCACCCTTCTGGGTTTTCGGCCCAACGAGCCTCTCAAGGATAGAAAAGTTTAACTTGTTTATGTTGATTGGCCGAAGGATCTCTAAGCCATCTGAATCCAGCAGAATGGTTGTTGTTTCTGACTAAATAGTCTTGATGATGTAAGAGCCCATCCAATTGGGGTTTGAATTTGCCCCTAGTGTTGTGGATAGGAACTCGATTGTCCTTCAGCAATAATTTCTCTTCTCTCAGATTCTGGGATTTGGCTTTGTTGCCGATCTTCATTGGTTAGCGAAATGACCCATCTTTGAATCTCTGAGCATGTCTGACCTTTTTGGCCCTTAGTTCAAGGGATGCTTCTCATTCAACTTTGCAAGATTTATTTGATGACATCTGACCTTCTTGATCTAACCTTCTTGCCCTTAGTTCAAGGGCTGCTTCTGATCCAGCCATGCAAACCTTGTATTGTGATTAATCGTTGAACATTTTGAGTCAAGGTTCAAGGTTCGAAAGAGTCTCAAGGCCGAGAGTGATCCTATGTTGTACAATTCAGAAAGCGATTCCACGCATGTCTTTATAGGACTACACAAAACATTTTTTGAAATCTTTTAATAAAGCGACTAGTCACTCAGGCTCCTCTAAAGACAATGTAGAACCAATCTAGATCAAGCCAGGATCCTTCTCAGTACTCACATTAACAAACATGATCTCATTCATTAAGGGCTTAGCACGCCTCTCTTTCTCTCAATTGATCAAATTTTTGCAAATCCCGAGGAATTCCTTCCTCTTTGCTTTTAACACAATTTTGGAAACAGTTTTGAAAAACTTTGGTCAATGCAATGATTTAAAGGCACATAAAAAGTAAATGAAAATTACTGCCGTTTCATTCAAAACTTCTGGCTCAATGATAGAAACAAACTCAAAAGAAAAAGCGTAAAAGCAAACAAAACAAACAGGGAAGTAATGCCCGAGTTAACACCCCTGAAATCACCAACCTCCGACATAACAAGACTGACTTGACTGACTCAATACAAAAAAGACTGACTCAATACAACATAACAAGATTGACCCAATACCCAAGTTAGAGAGTAAAATAAACAACATTCACAAATTACTCAAAAGAGTGCGTGCCATCCGTCATATCTAGGATAAAATGAGCACCATCGGTAGGTGGTTCATACTCGATCACATAGTCACATTATCTCCCAAGTTTATCGATCCAGTTCTGATAGACTTTGTAGGACCTGGTGCGACGATGACCTCGTTGTCAATCAAATCTTGGACTTCATGGCGAAGACGATAACAATCGTCAGTGTCATGACTGGTTTGTTGATGGAAGGCACAGTACTTGGCAGCATTATGCCTAGCTGGAAGGAGATCCAGGAAAGGCTGACACTCAAGGGGTTTGAGATGGCCTTGTCCTATGAAGATTTGGAGAGCTTTGGACAAGGTCATGTAGAGGGGATTGAAGGTGCAGTTACCAATTCTGACAAGCTTGATAGAGGACTTGGCAGGTGTTGACTGGGTTTGATAATCTCTTATGGGTGTAAAATTGGAGCTGAAAAGGGCATTTCTAGTATAACATCCCTTTTCCGGGCTTACCCCTTGATTCAGAATGCTCTCACCCTGAGTGGCAAAAATGTCATCCACAGTCTTTGCAACAACTGGGAGCACTTGTTGTTTGTTCAGCCCTTTGGCTTTCAAAGCCTCAATAGCCCACTGAAGATGTTCATAGGGACTAACGCCTGCCCCTACCTTGTTCTTGTTCTTGCCATTTGCCTCTATTTTGCCAAAGGATTGGCCTTCTTCCAACGCAGCTCGTCCCAAGATTGAGGAGCCTTTTGACATGAAATTCCTAGTATGTGATGTGGTTGATGACGGAGCCAATATCCCAAATGCTAAATCTTCCACAGTTCTCTGAAGATTTTCAATCATGCTCTTTAGCTCAGAAGTAGTAAGTTCGTGGGTTTAAGATGATTGGGGTTCAAATGCATCCATCATATACAAGTCCATGTTTTCTGGAATGAACACCTTAGGCTTGGGTAAATGGGTTAGGGTGATGTATATGCTGGGGTTGTAGGTAGATGGCAGTGTATGGATTAGATTGAGAAGTGAAGGTAATAGGTTAGGGGTGGCCTAAAGTCCTTTTGGTGGAGCCATGATCTCTTCGTCAATAAGATCCTGAATCTTATGACAAAGGCGGACGTAATGGTTTGTATCATGACCGTGCTATTGATGATAGGCACAGTATTTAGCTGGGTCATATCTTGGTAGAAGAGGATTTGGAAGGGGTCGGGGTTCTAGGAGTTCTAGGTAACCTTTTTCTTGCAGTATTTTCAAAGCTTAAGAGAGACTCATTTAAAGAGGATGGAAATTTCAGGCTTGGGGCCAAGTTGAAGTGATTGGTTTTTGACATTAGAACTGCAGACAACATTTTTCTTTAAAGACTCATTATCTTCCACAAAGATCCCTTGTCTGATGGCATCCTCGATTTGAACCCCCATTTCATGAAGCTTTGGAAAGGTAAACAGAGGTAGAACGATCATCTTCTGTAGCAACTGTCCATGCAGATCCCGAACAATCATTCTTATCTGATCTTTTTCGAAAGGCGTTGTAGTCATCATCGAGGCCTTCGCTCTCCATCTCGTCATGAACTTTGAGAAACCCTTCTTTAGCTCTTGGCGGGTGGCTTCGAGATCACGAGTTGTGACCTCAATCTGTGTGTTGTAGGAGTATTGAGCAATAAAGGCCTCAACCATCTCTTCCCAGTGATGTTTCACAGAGTACTCCAATTTCACATACCAAATTGCGGCTATCCTAGACATGGTTCGGCCGAATAGTGACAACTTCTGGGCCTGGGTCAAACCCATTGGCCTCAGAATATCAAAAAACATATGCAAATGCACCATCGGATCTCTAAAGCCATTGAAACAGTTAATATGCGGCATCTTAAACCGCTCCGGTAAGGTAACTGCAGAATCAGTATACCCGTCCTCTATATCTGAGATGGAGTTCACTCCCTGTACTTGTTTGAATAACTTCTCTAATTTAATGACCTTAAGGGCAGTTGGGTCAACCTCGAATTCAAACGGAGCCCCGGTTTGAGACATAGGTGCTTTGGAAGTTTGTGGTGGGATCGACTCTGCCAGATTGCCCTTATTCTTTTGGACATTAGCAGTATGGGCAGTGGCTCCAGGTGTCGGGTTACCCATAGGAGGTGCATGAGATGCAAAATCTGTGGCCGACTGTGGCTGTTGTTGTTGCAGCCTGTTTATCACCTCAGCCTGATGGACTGTGACCTTGGCCTAACAAGCAGCGTCTTGCTGCAGTGCTTCAATTGTTTGCTGTAGGTGATGCATGAGTTCTTTCATACTAGATGGGGGATATTGTGCTATTTAGAGTCGGTGTTTGAACTTGTGTTGAGCGAGAAGCAAATGACCGTTCCTAGACTTGACTGGATACTGGTGAACCGAAGGGTGACTGCTGTAGACACTGTACTGGTGAATCCTGCCCGACTCTCCTCCGTCTTGTACCTGGAGGGAAAGTGAGGTAAACTCTGGTTGCCTCTAAACAAATTCCAACCTAACAAAGTCTATAGATACAAGTCCAGAGTACTCGGGAGATATTGGAGCCTTCTGAAGCTATGGTTCCAGGACTATCTAGCAAAAGAGAAAACAAACAGCATCTCAGCCCAATTTCACTAGAACAGATATGATCACAGCTGAATGACTATGTTCTCTACTGAGTTCGGTCCCAAAACAGATACCAACTTGGCAACTGATATGCACATCCTTGTACAGTTTCACTGTAAAGCACATACCAGTTAAATGAGAGCCAAAACACCCCTATGATGGGGTAGGATTACCCTGTCCTAGTTGCGTTAGGAGCTAGGGTTTTCACTATGCATAACAAGTGGTTTCACACAATCTTGCATTCGGGTAAGCATCATGTCCTAGTTTGGAACAATCTCTATGGTTTCTGATATGCAACTAAGTCAATTAGTCAAAATTGGTACTTCAGCAAGACTACCTAATATACATCTCACACCTAACACCGAGAAGTGAAATGAGGATCAAACGGTACAGCAGTAATCCAGATCCAAGGGTTGTGTTCCCATCATAGCAGAGCCCGCAACTGGTCAGCCTTTTGGTCATATCATGAGTTTAAGTTAAGTTCTCTAAATCCCTAGCAGAGTCGCCAGAAATTGTGGCTCGGCTTTTTCGCGCCCCCCTTTCGGAAGCTCGTAAAGAAACCCTACAGTTTGAACTCCTGTGGTTCTGATTCTAATCTCACAAGTGCAATGTGAAACTGATAGACACCAAAGAGTCCAAATCTGGCAAATCGTTTTGAAAAATTGATTTTAGGATAAAAAATGCCAAAAATTGTACTGCTTTGCCAGATACAAAGTCGCCACCTAAATATTTTATTTTAGAAAAATTTAGGAAACCTATGACTCGTACCAAAGGCCACATGTCCGTCATCACCAAAGTTGCCTCGGCTCGGAAACTTAGGTACGATAGGGGAAGGTCATGAATTGAGCACCCCCACTCACCCGATCAAAGATCGGCCTCTACTAATCATGATATGATTTTTTATAAACATTATGTGCTCTTATTCCGGTTATTAAACTAGTTTTACTATGTGATGCGCACAAGCAAGTATAGACTAGTTTGCTCAATTTGGAACAATTCAACTCATGTTTGTTTGCGAAAATGGTTTGAATTTGCCATCTCAAGTAGGCATAAAAGGTTGCGGATTTTGCCACCAAACATAGTAGGCTTAAAACATGATTTGCTACTCAACAAAGTGGGCTTAAAACTTACATTCATTTAATCGTTCCAATTCAAACAACAAGCCTTCGTCCACAGGCACTCAAGCAGTTTAAAAAGTAAGCACATAGCCTAATGGCAAGCATGCTAATCATGGCAACATTCACATTCACATTCAAGCAAGTATACTAAAACGTAAAAACTCACCTAATACTCCAAGTTAGGAAAACATGAGTTAGTGAAATATGCATGATTCCTAACTATGTTAAATGTATAATGCAACACATGCAATATACAATTAATAAGCTCGACTAGTAATATGACATATGGGTCAATTTGATAACATGCGATTAAACACGTTTTTAAAGAAGATATTGAAATGACAATGCAGTTCGAATGATGTGCCGAGCCTCGGTGCATGCAATACGAATGAATGGATGCAAGGATAATGTATGCTAATTAAAATATGTCCCTAATCTAACCATCAAAAGCTAGTAAATAAAAGGGACAAAGACATGGGGTTGGAAGACATACAAGCACACATGCACACTTATTACAACATTACGCCCTCGCGAAGGAGGGTCCGAATGAAACTAGCTAAGCTACATTACTTAACTAATTATTACAACACTTGGAATGAATTAACTAATTATTCTAAGCTAATTAATTAAAATAATTAAATAATTAGCTATCTAAGCTAATTAAATATTACAAAGCAAACTAATTAGCTAAATACTTAACTAATTAATTACAAAGCAACAAAGTTAATTAATTACAATATGAATTAATCAACTACTCTACTTAAATAATTACAACATTAGTTATTTAGCTACAACAAATTAAATAATGAATTTAAACAAATAGTCCCGGGAGCGCGAGGGATGCCCAATACATGCTCGGTTTCCACCCGAAGAACGCCCGCTGTTTTGCTTCCAATTGCCTCTGTTACACATCCTATGCACTGGTTTTCCTTCTCCAGATCAACTCTGTTCTGCTTGACAAGCTTTTTGCCAAATTTTCATTGGTGGCCGGCAGGCCAGAAATGGTGGTCGACTAGCCACCAGCAAGGGGTGTCGTCCAACAATGGTGGCCTGCCGGCCAATAGTAGTGGTCGATTGGCCACTGATGATGCTCATTTTTTACTGCAAAAGAGAGCAAATACGGTAAAGAAGAGGCATTCTCACAAGTTGTTTGTACTATGTATCACCCCTTATCATCAACACAAGCTCAAAGGAGTGACACATTTTGCCCTCAGACCATCAATCAAGCAATTTCCATGCATGATGGGTAAGGGACCAAATTGTACAAGTTTAATGAGTGCAAAACAAGACTCAAGTGCCATCACCCTATCATGCATTATCAAAGGCAATGGAGACCTAGGAAAGTGGCACATTTCATCACTTTTGAGTATGAAATGTCTCATTTTCCTTGTGTTCAAATTAACGTCCGATTTGAACACATGCAATGTGACACAAAGAATGCTTATCATGCCACTTTTACTTGCCAATTTTGTTTACACATTTTAATTACCGAATCATCCTTTAATCAATTTGTCTATTGGTGAGTGTCTTCTAAGATGAAAGAAGTGTCTACCAAGGGATAATGTAAGATAAGAGAGAGATCATGCCGTTGATAATGAATCTTTAAAGAAGATTAAACCATTAAGCATAACCTCAATTTCAAGCTTAAAGGATCCCCAGCTTGAAATAACCCTCAAAAGCAAATAAAGAGTGAAGAAATAAGAGAGGTTACAGAGCTTTAGGTGCTGATATGAAGTAAAAAAAGCACTAAAACATGCAATCAACTCAAACAAGGGGTGTCTAATGGCCTAAAACACCAAGCTTGTGAGGACTATTGCACTACAACTATGCAATATAAGACCCAAATGACTTAACCAGCCAAAAAAGAGCTACAACAGTCCAAAAAAGAGCCTAAATCATGCTGGAATTAAGCTACAAATTGCTAGAAAAATAGGCTAACACATAGAGCTATCTAGACTAGTAAACAAGACACAAAGAATGGAGGCTAACCCCTCCAATTTTGGACTTTAAAACATGTTTTTTGCCACTAAAAATACTTTGAATTTTAGTACTCAAAGGCCCAAAAAAAAGATGATTTGAAAATGGGAAATAAAGGTTAAAAATCCTTGGAGACAAAGAATAAAGAAGGGTGAGACAGCCCTATAACCTTGAGTGGCCTAAAGCACCAATTTCAACCCATAAAAATAGAGTTTTTTATTACTCAAAAACAACCCAAAAACAGTTGAAAGAGATAGAAAAACAAGTATGCAAAATAAGTGTAAAAGGGGAGTGTTATACCTCTTGAAGCAAGCAACAATTTTAGGCACAAATTCAAGTCAAAAACACCTTCTAAAGCTTAAGAAGGCTTCAAAGGACCTCCTCTCAAAGATGAACAACTTTTGTTAAGGAGGAATAGGCAAAAGTGTAGTATATCTAAGCTAATGTGCACAATTTTGCAAGAGAAAGAGAGAAATGGAGGGAGAGAGAGAGAGAGAGATTTAGAGAGAGAGACTCCCAAAATTTTTCTAACCTTGGAAAATGAGAGATAGGTCACCTATATATAGCAAACAAGAGCCTCAGGTCGAAAATATCATCAAATGGACAACTGAAACTTTGTGCCATCAAATGGACAGCTGAAACTTTGTGCAAACAGCTGGAGGTAAATATCTGCAAAATCTGAGTTTTTTTTACGCCAGTGGCCGGCAGGCCACCAATGATGGCCGGCAGGTCCACTGGTGGCCGGCAAGCAAAAAACTGGTTTCTAGCTCCGACTTCAAACAGGCATATCTCCTACGTCCAAACTCCGTTTCAGGTCATTCTTGAGCCTAAATTGAAGCTCCGGAAGTCTATTTTCCAATGGTGGCAGCCTCACATCAAAATTCTAAGTGTACAAAAAGATATGCCTATTTTAGTAAAGACTGCTTAATTTTGGTGCTAATCGGATTGATGCGTAACTTCTCCTCAACTAGTTTTCTTCCCTCCTCTCCTATTTTCTTCAACTCCAAACCTCTAAATAATGTATTTTGAAATATTTTTCAAAGAGTTCACCTCTCTTTCATTTATTTCCACTTTGTCCTTGCTCGGTTTACCGAAAAGTGCAACATTTAACGAAATGCGAGCCTCGGAACATCGTAGAAACATTTTCAAAAATATTTTGAAAAAGAGGTTTTTAAGGTCTAAAATAATTTTGGTCAAAATAGTTTTGGTCCAAAAAAAGGGGTGTGAGGTTGGGGTTTGAAGCTCCTCTTGCCGAAGAAATCGAACATTTGCATAACTTTCATTACCGAGTGATCAACCTGAGGCGCCCAAGTCTTAAGGGCTGTCAAAAATGGGGTGTTTACAGTGGTTTAATGGTAGAAGTTTGAGGAATGATTTTCCTAGATTGTTTAGTGTCTCAATGGATAAGAAAGGCTCATTGAAGTTTTTCTATCAAAGGAAAGAGCAAGACTCAAGTTAGAAACTGGAGTTTAGACAACCATTGTTAGGTTGGGAGGAAGAGGAGGTTCAAAGACTTACTTTATTCTTATCAGAGGCACCTATTCCGACTCATACAGTTGAGGATTCTTGTTCATGGCTAGCAAATAGTTCAGGAGTGTTCTCTGTGGCTTCGGTATGGCAAATGATAAAGGCAGCTAAAAGGTCAATGCTTAATATTTCAAAGGTTCAATGGAAAAATTCAGCGCCTCCAAAGGTTCAATTCTTCAGTTGGTTAGCTTGTAGAGGGAGGATAAATTTTGCAGAGTTTATGCATCGGATTGG